AAGCATGTAAAGACAGAGACAGAGACATAGAGCAGGGGCAAAACCAGCAATCCTCAGATTACAGGACACATTCCTACCACCAGTCTCTACCATCGCCATTTTCCCATGTGACTTGAACAGAATATACCGACCAGGCACCAGGACAGACTGAATTAAACTTTCCTGCACTCCTAGAAACTCCAAAGATGAAGAGGGTAAGAAAGTGGATTTTGCATGCCATTTGAAATCCGACATTTTGAACTCAAATACTGTGAATTAACCTAGCAGACGCTTACAAAGCCATAACATCACTACGGTTTTGCTTTCCATAAATATCTGAAGGTATCATAATCTTACAATATATTAACTTCTGAATTAATTCATTTTCTCTCTTATTATTAATAAAAACATGTTTGGTAATCATAGATCATCTAAAACTCTAAATGTTTAGTGTCATTTCATACCATACAATTAGAAAAAGGTTATGTCTTTTAATACAGCACAGACATCTAGCTTCAATGGTACTGTGTTTCAAAGTATATTGTCAACATTATGTCAATATTCTTAATTTTAAGTAGCGCAAGAAAAAAATGCCCATGTGTAGTCAAACACAGCAGTTGACCTTTTGTCAAAGACATTTTAATAATCAGAAGACAGAGTGGTCTTTCTATTTTCAGCTTTTAGGGATTACAAACTTGTCAGTCACAGCTGTCGAAGCAGTTCTATTTAAGGAAACATTTTACATCAGCCCCCTTCGTTGTCTTAATTGCTCTTCCTTCCCTTTGACTCCAGAGGAGGTTATTTGCCACATCCTCAATGATATTGACTACCTCATGAAACACTTCACAGTGACTCCACCAATAGGCAGTCTGAGCAAATGTATAGTTTACTAATATAAATGTAAGATGCCAGATTATCTTGTCAATGAGACCTTGTGCTGTACCCTGTACAAGCGCTCTGATTCAAATGCCATCATGAGGAAAACGATAACCTGAGCTCAACGCCTGCTGCTTTCAGCTTACTTTCAAAGAGATTACTACTATTCCTGAAAGTGTGCCTGTGTTTGTAAATCAAACCAGCTTTACTAAATTACCTCTGCTGGCAGTAGGTACAGAATTTGGTGAAGTAGCTTGTTCCAATTAAGAGTTTTTGACGCTAATCGGGAGCCATTTCTGCTCTTTCATGTAAATTGTTACATGGTTGTACAAACTCATAAGAAAAGTTCTCCTATATCATTTTTGACGCTTACTGGCATTCTTGGTAGTTATGAGTAGGAACCATTGAAATAACCTTATTTTTGTGGAGAATCTCACACAGAAGAAAACAAATCTGAAAGCCCGACCCATTAATTTAAGTAGTCAGAACTCTGGTTAAGTCGCAACAAAATGTTAACAGTTCTTTCAAGCTGAAGAAATATGTTGGTAAAATAAAAATATTTATTTCAATTTAAATCTACCAGAGGATGAACAATTTTGGGCTCAACTGTGTTGTTTTGTTTAGAATCTTTTTGTATCTTCACTAAAAACTGACACATTTTTTTTTTCTCATTTAATTAGCTATGGCAATTATTCATTGTCTTTATATATTTATATTGAAATGTAATTTATGGATTTTAATTTACTTTTAGTTAAGAGTTATTTTTACAGATAGTTGTAGGCCATTACAATTATGTTTATTTTTAATATAATAGCCCATGTTCTAATAAGTAATTTTACCTTTCTTTATTTAATAAGATGGAATTAAGAAAATATATTTCAAGGCAGTTCACTGCTCTTTATTTGAAATACATACACTGCTTTTCCAAACTCAAAAACTATTTATGACTTTGCCTCTGCATCCTGTTTAGCAGGTAATTTTTAAATGATTGTCATTTCTGTAGTGACCAAAATAAATGGTAATTGTCAGGCTCCTCTGCCTGTCTGCTTCAACCTAATGAAATATTTTAAAATATCGGTGACAGTGATAGAAAAAAAACAAACAATTATTTTCTCCATTCATCAAATGTATTCAAACAAAAGGATGGAAAGTTCCCAGATATTTTAAAGGATGCTTGTCCAATTAAAGACAGCTTTATTTCAACTATTTTTTGCAAGTCTTCATCCAGTAATTGTAGATTTACAAATCAATATTTTTTTCATTTGTAACAAAAGTGACACAGCTTTTTGTGGATGGGCCAGAGCGTGGCATCAATCCTCTAGTTGGTCAGAAATCTCTGTGTTCACTGGGGTTGAAAGAGCACTGTGAATATCTTGTGGCTACACACACAGATGCAGCGTTAATCAAATCAACATCCCAAGTTGGCAATTTAAGCCTGACCAAAAACCTGCTCTTTTCCCCACATAAAGCAGCAATGCATGCAGCGGCTGTGACATTCGGTGCGGGAGACTGCAGCTCGGTATGGCCTTTGGCTGCCTAATGAGATGGAACATTTGGCCACTTCTGAACTGGCTGTTTCATTATGAGAGCAGACAACTGCAAAACCCATTTAGCAGCCAAATACCTGGGATTTTGATTATGACAAAGCTGCATGTTTCCCCCATGTGCCTGTCACATTATCAATCAAAGCCAGTGCAAAATTGAGAAAATTTACTTTTTTTTTTTTTTTACTTTTTTCCTCTAGTTGTCAAATTAAGAAGAGCTGGGGACAGGCTGATTTGACACATAAGTACATGTTCTTCCTTAAACTGAGAGGATGTGAAAGCTTCATTGTTTTCTCCAAAACAATGATTTTCTATGTGTGGTTGTCAGTCTAACACATGCTGTCTTTTATTCCATTTTCTAAAAGCTGTTGTTTATGTGGTCTAATCAAACGGCAGCTGACTAAGCTCTCTTTCTCAGATTCTTGACAAAATGCAGAAGCAAAAATGGCTATCAGAATCCACATTAAATGTCAGCAATGACAGATTTAACCTTGTATGTTTAAAGATTATAAACTAGAGACACTTTGTGTCTGCAGTTCATATTTTTCTTGACAACTCCCTCCTTCGCTTCCCTAACATTTAGTGCATCACCCTTGGCTGGGCAGAAGCTTGTCTGATTTACATGTTAAAGATGAAGCACTAGTCAAACAGGACCCAGAGGCTTTCTACTGTACTTCCACATTGCCAATATCAGATCTGTGTCTGTTCCCTTGATAACTTCTTTTGCCTACATTAGCACAAAATAAGTTTTTTAGGTCATGATATTAAAGCCCAAGTAAAATGTATCTCTTAAATTTATTTGAAGGTGCTCTGGAAACTGAAATTTAGCATACATGAATGATGGAAACTCACACTGCACTCAACCCCGATAGCACCTTTCCCATAGTGAAACTTTGTGGTGTTATCATAATATTGTGGAAATAATGTATTTCACATGCAAATGCAGTGCAAAATGCAGGACTATCTAGGCAAACAACTTGTTGAAAAATGCTCTTCATGTTTCTCTTCGTGGTAGCCTATCAAATGAAATCTCTGTGAAATAGAATGAAAATTTTGTCTCTACTTTGACTAAATGTGGAATAAGTTCAAATTGTGGTAATACTTTTCAGAACAATTACTTTATGTTCTAATAGAATATACCTGCAATATATACTATGTATTTTTTTTTCCCCAATAAGGCAAAAAGGCCTGTCAGAGTAACACAAACACTCTGAAACAATCTAAAATATATACACTTTTGATTTCAAGAAAAATGTTGAGGTCGTCAGGACCTAAAGCAGGTAGACAGTGGAAGCTTGGAGTAAAAATCATATCTGTGTTCACTATTGTTTAATTCAAATGCCCTTCAGATATCTGACCCACAGGAAAACAGTAGCTGCAGAAATACTGAGGTTAGCCTTAAGCAAGAGTAAATAAGTAAGAGTTCAGCAGTGTGGGGGGGGGAGATTTTATTTTTTTTTTTCACAATGTCTCTGCAATAAATGCTTAAGTTTAAGTACATTGTTTTTATCAGCAACAAGCAGCTTATATCGACATGTTTAGGATTCTTTCATGAAATGTCTGATAGGCATTTCAGTTTAGAAGCATCTCTACATTAGAAAAAGAATCTTACACTAGCAGTAATAAGTTAAGATTTGAGGATAGAAAGATATTGAATCTAAAAAGAGTGTCCTTGAAGCTGTCCTGTGATGTTCTGCGTTATGTTTGTCTGTGAGAATTAGCCAACAGGTAAATGAGCTGATTGCATTAAAGGACTCTCCAGGAGTAATGTTGGTGTTTCTCCAGGATAATGATGATGGGCAGCAGCTTCAGGCTGCCAGGCATGAGGAGTTGCAGTGGCACAATGAGTACTGGACATGTCATTAGTAATTACTCTCAGCTACAGCAAGGGTCTGGGGTCAGCGCAAGTGAGAAGTCGGCTGTCTGCTGCGCCAAACTGAATGTATTTCCAACGCTGGATCATCTATTCTGCATCGTTTTGACGCCACAAGCAAACTTTATTTCCTTTTCAGCCTGTGGCTTTTTTTTTTCCTGGGTTTGGAAATCCAGTTCATGTCCCTCATTCCATCTACTGCAGACTCTACAAATGTGCAATGCATAGTTCTTAACTGAGCAGAGCACCAACGTGTGGGAAGGACATGGAGCTTCACCTGTGTGCAAAAGTTTTAAACCATTTTTAATTTATATTTTGCGATCAGCAAGGGAGACCTTCTTATGCAATATTTTAATTTGATTTTGAAATTATAGTGTCGTGCCTAAAACCTTTCTACAGCAGGGGTACATTTGCTGACAGTTATGTTGGAAAAAGTAAAAATGTGTCAAAAGTATGCGATGCATAAAAACATTCACTCCTATCTTGACAAATAGTATTATGTGAAGCAGTTTTGGATCAATAAGGCCCCGTGAGATATCAATTTGTTATGTTTTTGTAAGCACTGAGCTTTGTTTATTTACATTAATCATAATACTAAATATTCAGCTCATATTAAATACATAAAAGATTAGGTAAGTTAACTTTCATAGTAGCTATATAGATGGGATTTAAATAACATATCAAACAATAAAATAATCTGTGTAGCTCTCATAAGCCTGGATACTTACCATCCTCTCTGGATTTTTGAATAAAGGCGTCAACACCACTTTCTCCATAGTTTCCCTCTGAAGCTACAGTGGAGACATAATTCCAGCGCATGGCTTTGACGATGTCAACCATAGCCTGAGCCTGGTAGGTGTCTGGGGGCACCACACGGGAGAAGAAGTCGTAGCGTGTGTTATCACTCAGTTCCGGGGCTGTAGAAGCATAACTCACTTGAGGGATCTGTAGAACAAAAAGACGGGAGCAAAGAGACAGAGACGGTTACACATGGAGAAATATATAAACGACAAACTTACCGTGAATTAATTAAATATGCGGCAAAAGGGTTCTGCGTACACAAACATGCTAACAATATGACACCTAACATCTGCTGAAATCTCTCGGCTAAACTCCTCTGTGGTTGTTCACCCTCTGGAGTTGTCGCGTTTTAAATAGTCCTGATGATCACAGGTTTAGTTCTTCTTCCTGAGGAGTATTTTTCACACCAGTCAAGCAACACTAATCTGCTCAAAATTCACTGTTTTCTCTAATATGATGTGAAATGCATTTGGTGTTGAAAAACTCTAATGCTGCAAACCTGAGATGGAAAAAAAAAGAAAGAAAAACACTCAGTAAAAACAAGACATTATCTTTACAAGAAAGAAAAAAACACTGAAATCTTATTTTGCTTTGTGAAGATTAAAAAAAGTATATTATACAGCTTGGTTTGAGGACAGTTTATGATTTTCCGTTCTTTAGATTCATCTTTATACACACAAACTATATTGAACAAAAGTAAACAAACATACTTAATGTTATTATTTATTATTATTATTATTATTATTATTATTATTATTATTATTATTATTATTATTATTATTATTATTATTATTATTATTTGTGGCTACTTTCTCTATTTATGATCTATATCATTACAATCTCTTGATAGTTTAGAAATAGATAGTTTTCCACAAACTGATATTCATAAAACATTTATGTTTCTGCCTTCAGGTTGTTGGAAAGGAGGCTTTGACTGATTGTTGAACTAGGGAAGAATGGCAGATGAGTGATGTCACCGTTTCTCAGTATTGAAAATGTTCATTCAAAGTGGTTTGGGCATCTCCTGACCACCTCCCTTCCAGTTACGTCCCACTTGGAACAGACCTCAGTACAGACCCAGAATGCGCTGGAAGTTTTGGTTATGATAAATAGAAGACATCAGACAAATGGATGAATGGATTGACAGTAAGAGTAGTTTGCTTTAATTTATTGTTTTTTTTTTGTTTTGTTTTTTTTGTTTACTTTAGCTGCTCAGCCCCTGTTGGTTAATCCATCTAAGAAAACTTTACCAACCGAAGATTTTGCTTCACCAGTAGTTTTCTCCACAAGCAGTGGGCTGACTGCTGTGGGAATAATAACATCCTTTCCACTGTCCCTCACTTCACACAGCAGAGGCCTTTGATGTGATCAGATGCTGCCCTGCACTGATCCTGCATGCGCCGCTAAAGCCTGTGTTGGGAGCACAGCTGTTCAATGTTTGCCCGTGACCTTCTGCTCTGTACAGCTCCTGTAAATCCAGTCTCATTTTGATTTTACTGCAGGAGCCCTTTACAGAAGAGCAACTGTTCAAAATATTCTAAGACTTAAACGACATATTAAAATATGTGTGCATGCTTGCTGGTTTCATAAGCTGGCCTATCAAAAGGAGACTTTCTTACCTAATCAACTTGAAAAAACAGTGGCCAGAAAAAAAAAAAAAAAAAAAAAAAACATACTGTGTTTTAATGGATGAAGAAAGGGTCACATTTCAGCCATGTTTTTTTTCTTCTTGACATTGTATTTGCTCTTATTCGCTGAGGGTCCAAATCCTGATGACCACCAGCGGTAAGCTGATTGAACCTTCATACTGAGGTGCATCTGGACCCTAAGTTATCTAGATTGACAGTTGGGAGAACTTTCACTCGCTACACATTGTGTTTCATTAACTCCTGGAAGCAATGCAAGTGTTAACTTTTCTAACAGCGCCTTGACGTCATGAAGCTGAATCCAGCAGGATGTAAGTGAAGTGTTGCAGAAAGGTGTTTGTAGGGTGTTAATGATGTCTCCTTTTATTTCACTTCTCTATAACACAGTAAAATGAGACTTTTAGCCGTTTGCACCTATATTTCACTTTTTCAAGTTGTTTCTCAAAGTGATATAGTCATATTTGTTATTTCCATAAGTAAAATATTTTTAAGTGTGACTTTTTCAACACTTTTTTTTAAAGAAAACATGGAGAGACATTGCTGACATTTATTTCTCAGACATTCCAGGTGAGCTAAGGTGATTCCATCCCAACACAGAAAGCATTGTTATCAGTATGTCACTGCTTCAGGTTTGTTTTTGTCAGGATTTTGAGTTGTTTTGGGTTTTGGGTTCATAGTATTGATTTCTTATATGTTCTCTGTTATTTTGTATTAGATTAGTCTTGTTTCTGTTCTACTGTCAGCCTGTTTACAGTTATTTTATTTGGGGCTATTATTTATTCCGTCTGCTTAGATTTGTGTCCTTAGATTTGATTTCCCATTTCCCCTGTTTGGGTTTACTCCACCTTTCTCTTTTGTGTCCTCCATGTTACCCATTCTCTATGCCACTTGGGTTCCTGTGCATTCATCCCAGGTTTGGAAACATGTTTTCCTGAATTTCATTTACTAAGACTTTATTTAATAATACTCCTTTGGATTCCACTTGCTTTTTGATCCTCATCCTCATCCACACATCATTACAGTTTTGACTTTTCCTAAATTGGACATGTTAGAATATCTAAGTACACAAGGATTCAAGAGGTATTCTTAGACACATGTCTGAGTCCTTTATGTGGTAGAGCCAAAGGATTTTTTTTTTTTTTTTTTTTTTTTTTTTTTCCTATTTCGAAAATGGAAAAAATTTTTAAAAAACACTTTCACATTTTGTGTTCCCCCAAATCA